TTGCCTTATTCAAGCATTGGCCAGTTGTGGTTCAGATTCCAGTTGATGTGAAAACCAGTCAGGAAGTCGCAGCAACATTCTGTTTGGGGGGAGGGGGCAGAGGTTGCTGTAACTGTGTTCTTCTAAGAATGTTGTTTTTTGCGGCTCTTCCGCGGGATATATTTGGAGATGTTATAGCAGTGAAGATGATGGTGGTTAAGTTCGGCATGAACGAGCTAAACCTCAGTGAGTTCTGGCCTCAAGTTCAAATTCGTACCGGAGAATGAAGAAGCTGCGCACTTGGACCACTGTATGATCACAGGCGGCAAATGTTACAGCTCGGAAATGAGCGAACGAGGAGAGAGAGAGAGGATATTTTGAGAAAATTTAGATTTCAACAAAACAGCCTATGCTGAATTTCCCAGTAGCACCATGAGCACCCCAGCTCTTGCTGAGATAATTGTATTTAAAGGCGGGTGGAAAAAGCCATGCATAATGTGCTAATTTAATGGTGCATCGCCGGCCGATCATCCCATGCGTGCCCACTGTATGTGTCTGAACAGATTGCAAAGTGTTGTTCATTTTTTTGACAGTGTTTGCCATTTCGTTGGGGTTTGAGTAATACTCTTCTGAAGCACTGAACGATTAAATGGCGTGGAATAGATGGACTGTTTGTAGTAATAGCATTGAATGAGTATCAGTTCCAGGATCGGCATGGCGAAGCCAGTAAATGTGACGCAGGAGCTGAACGAAGCACGCAAACTCAGGGAACAGGCCAACACATCGTACAAGCAACACGATTATTCGTCAGTTCTTTTTCACTTTTTTTTTTTAAAAATCTCATTGCATTTCAATACAGTTACATTTCCCAGTCGAACGGTGGTGCCCCCGCACACTGCGCTCGAATGGCAGAGTAGGGAACGATGTACAGGGACGTCTCGAAATAATTAAAGCCCTGTCGATTGCTTCTGCCGGGGAGCATGCTGGTCCCTCCTCAGGAAACGAACATCAGACTGGCTGACTGAAGAAGACGCACGACTAGTTAATCAAAATATGAATTACAGCTTTTTT